CTTCCTTTTGTAAGCATCACGTTGAAGTCGTTGTACCCTATAGTGGAGAGCAGCCTTCGTATAGGCTTCGTTCAACGTCTGGCACCCTAGCACGCTTACAGCCTTCTGAGTGTCGAAATTGAGGCCATGGATGAATTTTCGGGCCTTGCTGTTCTCGTCCGGAACTAGAGCACGTGCAAATCGAGCTAACGCCATAAACTTGGCGTAATAGTCTTGGACAGTCATATCTCCTTGTTTGAGATACAAAAACTCCTCGTATTTCTCCGCTTTGACATGTTCGGGATAAAATCTTTCCCTCATAGCCTCCTTGAATGCCTCCCAAGTAAAATTTGGTTGTTGACGTAGTGCTGGTCCATCAGTGGCCCACCAGTTGTCAGCCTCCTGATGCAAGTAGTATGCAGCGATGTCAACTCGTTGTTCCGCCGGACAGTTAACTACTTCGAACAACTTATCAAAGGTGCGTATCCAATCTTCAAGAACGAGTGGATCCTCGTGACCCTGGTAGCTTGGGGGATTCCGTGCTGCTACCCTCTTTGAGGCATCATTGTTGTTCTGCTGATTCTGGACAAATGCGGCGCCAATCGTTTGAGCAAGTTGTTGAATGGTCAGCGCCAATTCAACATTAGTTGGCGCTGCGGGGACTTCTCTTCTAGGTGGCATATTCTAAAGCAAAGAAAATACTTAGGTATTGTCTAGCAATCGAGCTGACTATCCTATTAATGCATGTTTAAATACTAAGACAATATCAAGTTCTACTATCACTGGGCATAACAAAAGTTCACATAACATCAAGGATTTCTTTTCAACATATAAAAGCAATACAAGGTCTCACAATCCTCACCGCGTTCCTAAGAGGTCATTTACTAGCTATCTTATTTTTCCTAGTCAAACTATTTTGAAAATCCCCATTTGAAGGTACGATACCAAAGGTTTTATTTAAGGATTTCGAACAACGAAGTTTCAGCACAAGGAGAAATTCCCAGTTAGTTGGACGAGCGCAAAGGCTCAATTATGCACCAACCAGCTCAGACTCTTATCGTCTCGTTGACAGAATTCCTCCCTACGACCTATTACCTCGTGTCCTAATCCTTTCGAAAAACCAACCTGGCTCTGATACCAACTTGTGACACCCCCAAATTTCCCACCCAAAATAATACTTTGGAATAGAAATGAACTTTTATTTATTATTTAATCATTCAAATGTTTGCAGCGGAAATAGGTAAAATAAATTAAAAGGGGGTATGTCACCGCCACACCCAATCCGTGAATGATTGGATGTTAAGGCTATCTACCAAAACATGAGTTTAAATAAAAATCAAGATGTTCGAATCATAAGCAAATATTAAAGTTTATTCTAGTGAACTACGATAAGGTCTTCTAGTTCGCGCTCTCAAACATTCCAGCATCAAAATCGACATGATCACCTCCTGTTAGAAACGAGCAAAAGAAAATAAAAAGAAAACAAACATTAGCAATAATGCTAAGTAAGTTCCACCTAACCTTTTAAAATAATAATAATTAATATATATATAAATTCGTACAGCCTCATAAAATATTTGTCAAATCACTTTATAAATTATAAGTAAATGGTATCTATACAAAATCCCAACCACACAATTTGCAAATATCATAATAATTCCAAAATACATGAAACACCAAGATTCTCCTCTTTTGAATTTCTCCCAAAAATCACTTTGTAACTAACTCCCTAGTATTTTAGAAGGGCGGTGCTCAATACTTTGGTTGAGCCCGGTGGTCCGTTGTTATGTACGGCCACCCCGGGACTATTGCCGGTACCACAACTGCTCAACGGAAACGGAAACAACTACTTTAAGTGTGCACACCCCCTAAAGGTATTCCAAGCCCTCCGGGTTAGTAAGTTGATCCGGGTAGTCAGGATGTTTTCTACCAACTACCCCACCTCAAAAACTGAATGATTAGGAGCTACTACTACCACTACTACTAAAAAATCGGGATGTTTTCTACCGACCATCAATTCACCTCAAACCAATACCAACAAGAATTGAGTAGTAGTAGACCTAACCACCCTCCACATTTTAAGGGACGTGGAAAACCGACATCACGGATTTCTCCCGTGATGCCCACTCTTTATGAAAATATTTATTTTTCTTTGCTTTCTCAAAATCAATCGAAGTTTATACTTCAAAAATTTCCTTTTTATCAAACTCCCACAAAGATAACAAATTACGTACTATTACAAAATCTCCCAAAATTGTATACAATAACTCATATTAACAAACCAATATATCAACTAATATCCCAAATACAACCCTTTCATATCATAATATTTAATCAAATTCAGCACACATAAATTCAGTTATCAAATATGCACACAAAAATATTCAAAGAAAATCACGAAGTAAAAAGAACTAATTTCGGTTGACGTGAAACTTACCTTAAAGTGTGACACTCCTACTTGGTCTCTTAACTTGATTTAATTAGCAATCACCTTTAATAATTCAAAACTCTATAATTAGTCCTCGATATCTCAACCACTCAGTCAACTAAAGTTATTGATTTACTTTTTATAATTTTTGTCCATTTATTAATAACTTATCATTACTCTGGCCTAAATACTTCGGATTTCATTCATTCTCAAATACGAATTCGGAAATTCGGAATCGTGAATCACTAATGTACTTTATTAATTTAATTAGTTAGTCTGCTACTTTATTTCAATAAATAGAAGTACTCTGTATCCAACAATCTTCTTTAACCAATTGAGTTAATTCTTGGTATCAACCCCTCGACTCAATCGTTTAATGACGACGAACACTCGTATTCTATTTTAATCATGTAAGTTCCTAGTCTGTTTATTACTATTTCGGACAGGTAAATGATCCAGTAACTACTTGTTACTTAACCCCTTATTCTAATGGTTTTTTTTTTAATTAGAAATCATGTCAACTTAGCACAGTGAGAACCCATATTAACATGCTCCTATTCCAGTTTATTGCTACGTATAACTTTTAGTTCACTAACTAATGGCTAGTCAAATTGATCCCGATAAGTAAATTAAAACATTCATGGAGTCCAGCCTAAATTATATGGTAATTGACTACCCTGAGACTCATATCCATACAAGAATAAGAATTTACTATTCGTAATTCCTTTGTTTAATTATTAACATTGTTCATTTCTGATTTTATTACCACCATCCAAATGATCCTAATGATTACTAGTGGTAAGTCAGGCAATACTTTTGTTATTGTTATATGGCTATCATTACACCGTATTATTACTCGGTATTATTTTATTAGTATTGATGTGTGGACTAGTAAGTATTACTTCGTTTTATTAATAATTTAGTCCAATCGTCCATAAAGTTTCAGGAAAGTAGGGTAAAATAGCTATGGTACCAGTTCGGTAGTGCAATGGCCGTAACAGTGGTCCAGTCAGCGTCAGATCTTTCCTTTCGGTGGTGGTGCTAGTCCCTTCTCCGGCGACCCCCGACGTCCGATCCTTCTGCAGCAGCAGCGGCTCTTCTTCTCGGTCGAAGTAAACGGTGAGATGCGGGGATGAAAATATATTTGGTGTTTCGTATGAAGGTGTGGGTTGAGGTGTGGAGGTGATTGAAACGTTGTGTATTTATAGGCCAGCTTTGAAGGTTCTAGGCTCTTAGGCAATTAACACCCATTAATAAGTTTCCATACATGTAGGTAATACGGTACTTTACTTTGTGTATGTAATTACTAGTATTATTTTAGGTATGAACTATTCGCGTTTTCTTATCAATACGTTACTACTAGTATACGTTAATAAACCGAATATCCGAAATAACTGCTATGTATATGTTGGGTCCGTGTATTTTACGTGTATTATTATTATTCTTGTAGTAGTGTACATGGTTTAATAATCATACACTTTGTATGAACGTCACTTTTATTTAAGTAAACAAAATTTAATCTGACTAACGTCACTTATCACTTTTAACAAACTGAACTATTATTTTTTTTTCTTTCTAATATTATATATTTTATTATTATTATTATTATTATTGTTAATTAGTTAATTATTATTTATTTATTTATTTATTTATTTATTTTTTCTTCGGAGTGTCACAGTAGGTGGAGGAATTATTGTGGAAGGGTGAGCCGCACTAATAGGTGAGGATGGTGAACACGTGGCGGAGTTAGGTATGGATATGCATGGAGTGCCTCATAGATAGGAATTTTGGAGATGAGATGGCATGTCACGAAACGGATATATATCAAGAATAAATTTTACATGCCGGCTGGTATAAATTTTATTCTGATATATATCAAGACAGAAATAAGCAGACTGAGACAATGAATAACCCATGAACACACACGGTATTGATCGGGGCTGAGTTTTATTGTTTGTGTATGGTCGTAACCACGGATAACACAAACATCCAAATGGTTGTAATTTAGTGTAGTTAGGATTTGTTTGATGAAGACGGAAGTATGGAGTGTCGTTGTCAAGGACCGGAGTCGGGAGACGATTTATTAAATATACAGCAGTCTGAAATGCAAACGTCCAGTATTTTATTGGAAGACCAGAATAGTGAAGCAAGGACAATCCAGTTTCAACAATATGACGATGCCTCCGTTCAGCTAACCCATTATGTTCAGGTGTATGAGGCGGAGTAGTCATATGTGAAATGCCATGGCTATTTAGATAGGCACGTAATTTGATAAATTCACCCCCGTTGTCAGAAAAAAGTGTAGCAATTCGATGATTAAAATATTTTTCCACCAACCGATGAAATTGGGGAAACACATTGGCAACATCGGATTTTTATTTGAGTGGATACAACCAAATGTAACGGGTGAAATAATCTACAAAAATGACATAATACTTGCATCCATCAACAGATAGAGTAGACGTACTCCAAACATCAGTATAAACAAGTTCTAAAGGACGGTGAGCACTCATAGAATTAACAAAGAACGGTAACTTGGTGCTTTTATTGACTGAACAAGACATACAATGGAACGAACTAGCGGAAGTACATGGGAAAATATTTTTATTTTTATTCAATAAAAAGGCAAAAACACGACTAGATGGATGACCCAGAATATGATGCCACTGAGATGGAGCAAGACGTTGAGTAAGATTAAGCTGAGGACCTTGAATACTGGACGTATAGTAGACATCATTGTTGTTCTCCCCGCGTAGTAGTGGCGCCCCCGTGACCCGATCCTTGACAAGAAAATAATTAGAGAAAAATTCAATAGAAACATGATTAGTTTTGCATAATTTGGCTACGGAAATGAGATTTTTTTTTAAATGAGGAACACATAATACATGAGAGAGGGTGAGGGGATGGGTGGGTGTGGGTAGGGTGGAGGAATCCGTGTGAGTGATTTTAAGGGCCTTACCATCGCCTAAGTGGACTTCATCTGGACCACCATATTCAGCATATGTAGGGAGGCGAGTTGCATCATTAACCACGTGGTGGGAAGCTCCACTGTCAAACATCCAGGACTGATTTGGTGAAGGTGACGATGCAGCAACATAATTAGCCATCGGATTACTAGATGAGGCAGGATGAGGAATGTGATTATCACGAAGAAACCGTTGCAATTTTCTGCATTGTTGAACAATATGGCCGACGTTGTCACAAAAACGACAAATAGGTTGACCTGCATGTGCAGACCGGTTGAATTGGTGAGTTGGGCCACCTCTGCCCCCGTCTGAAGGAGTTACCTCTGCTGCGGCCTGGACCATCCTGACGCCGGTCAGTGTGAGGGCTGCGTGGACCACGCTCAATAGCATGCGTCACATTCGCAGTGGGCAAAAGAGAGTCCGTTGTTGCTGCTACTTCATTTATTTGTTGCTCATGCTCCAATAAAATGGGTCTCAATTCAGCCAGGGGTAGTGGGGTTTCACGTAGCCGTATGGCAGATTTAATATCTCCATAATCCGGCCCAAGACCTCTAATAATATGGATGACCAGATCCTCCTCAGATATGGGATTCTGAGCGAGAGCAAGTGCATCCGAAATTGCCGTCATCTCAGCCAAATAATCAGAAATAGATTTGTTCCCTTTGGTAGTCTTGGCTAGGGTATTTTTAAGAGAAATAATGTGTCCACGAGATGTACTAGAATAAGTGAGAGCTAGAGTATTCCATGCACCACGAGCGGTGAGTGCAGAGGATAGGACGGGTTGAATGGTGTCGGAGCAACTGCCTAGAAGGGCACTCAAAATGACTTTATCTTGTCGATACCAAATAGTATAACAAGGATTGATCTGGGATTTTTCATCATCGAGAAATTGGGCAGGGGCAGTGATAGTGCCATCGACATATCCTTCAAGTCCGAGGCCGACAAGAGCGGCGTGAACTTGGCATTTCCAAACTGGGTAGTTGGAAGATGTGAGCTTAATCGGAAAATTGGTGGTGGCAATGAGTTGAACCACTGGGGTGGTGGCGGTGATAACCATCGGGAAAAAAATTACGATGCTCGTTTGAGGCTGGCTCTAGATACCATGAAAAGTATGAATGATTGTATTGATTGTAAAATACAATGTACATGTGTGTATATACACACGTAGAACTACCTCTCAAAGCTAATGAGATAATCATGACTAGCTATAATTATGGAGATAATAATGTATCATAACAACCTAGCTAATCCGTATGTTCATAGTGATAAGAATGATAATTAATAATATTATGTTGCTCCAATAGTCCATTAGCCTTAATTGTACGATATTACCATATCAAAATAGTCAACCGAAATGATCGGTTTAAGTCCAAGATACACAATAAGCCTCAACATTGGCTGAATATATTCTCGTTTAGACAACTTTAAATTATGGGCAAACCATTCACATAGTAGTCAGGTAAGGACACCGATTGATACTAGGAGTACAAGTATGGGGACCTATACTGTAAATTCGAGTTCCTCATCATCGGGTTATAAATCAATAAACTTGGGTATAGTATTGTACTATAAATTTTAACGATCACATAAATATACTATATCATGTGGTTATTTGATACCTTATCTGAATGTCTCTAATATAGTGATCACCCATAATTATAGATTATCATAAATACGGGATATTACATAGTCTATCCCATATTTACATACATGGGATAGAAATTAGGAATTCAATAGTCCTATTTAGTGGTCCATTAATAAACGATTATACTCATATTCGATATGGGTTCCCTATTATGCAGGTTTCGAATAGAGATGTGGGGACTCAATTTGAATACATATCCAATAATGTATGATCAACATACGTATTCCGGGTTAAAATAACTCGGAATATTGGCTCTGTCTGACTTATAATTAAGATATGGCTTAAATTTTGATAGACTTTTGATTGTCCATCGGTAATACCTTTGGATGTCAGATAGTTAAATATGGACAAATTTGGATATAGGTGTCAATTACATCACAAATTACTTACGATGTAATTTGTGAAAAATTACTCATATTTTAGAATATGGTGAACAATTGCCAATCTAAATGTAATAACATACAAGTCCATGATATAATACCATCCATTTCTGTAATGAGTTTATTGTACGTTATGGAGTATTCTTGTCCGATTACTGATATAACAGGATCATTTGGTCATATACCATCCATATGTATAAAAATAGGTTGACATGGGATTAGTCCAAAGTATGTCACCGGTTTTATTTTACATTGGAGATAACGTGTGGGGAAAATAAGATCTCATTTAATAGCTATATATTAAATATTCGTATGTCAACACTAGTAAATTACACAATTCTCATATTATGATTTAACCTATGATTAAATGGTGAACATTATTCTATATAATGTTCACCATTTATAAATGAGTACACAATATAGTTGCAATAAGTCACTATGTTCACTTTTAATTCCAATAAAGTTGCCCAAATCTATGTACGTCCATAGGCTAATCAAATAAGTATGTCCATTGACACTATTCACTGTGTTGATTAGACATAGTACCTTATGAGATTGTACATCCCATAAGTGGTCCATTACAAGTATCTAGATTTACTTTTGAGTATTCAAGTAAATAGTCTATTTACTTGAATGGACACTAGCAAAATACGTAGTATATAGGAATGTTAAACTGAGGTAAGGAGTATTACAATTTAAAATAGTCTAAATGATACATAAGTCTGATGTAATTGGGTTACTATATATTGTTCTCGATCGGACTCATAGTGAGTCAAAACCTCCATACGACATTTATACACCTTTCAAGTCCAAACATTACTATGAACAACTACTATTACGAGATATGTTATAATTCGGAAATTCATACACTTAGGATAATCATAGGATATAACTTTACCTTATAAATATCCAAATATTTTAATGTACGACTAAGTGATACTCACTTTACAAGTCACTATAACATAAATTGTTATATAGTTTTCCTATATACAGTAAATACACAATTCTCATTCACGACTCAAGTCCAAATTATGAATAGAAAAAAACATACAAGTCTTCACTGTTTTCAGGCTTGCTAAAATAATTCTTCTAGGGTTAGCGTTGTATGGAATCAACCGAAGATTATTGTATGGGAAGACTGTGTTATAACGTTATTGTACCATATCGGATTGTAACAATAGTAGCTGTATAGATCGTGTGTCTAACTATAAGACATTAAAATGGTAAAGCTACAAGTCAAAATGTATGGGTTTCCCATTGTATAGCTGGGATCAATTGGTTAGGAGTAAAAGGGAATATTTATCAAGGTACGAAGATAAATATAGTTATCCCCTAATAGTGTATCTCATGTTGATTGTGTTGAACATATCAATCGATTGGCTATCATTATTCGTGGGTATTGTGATACTAAACGGGCCTATCTCATACCTAATTTCGATTGAAATTAGCCCAAAATAGAGAATATCGACCCATAATGTTTAGGCCCGATCTCATTTCGGTTATAACTCAATGGGATACCAATATAACTGTATATTGGTAAGTGTATTAAAACAATTAATATGGTAATTAATCCATATGATAGTCTTCATATATGTCTTAATCGTAAGAGCATCTTCAATGCTATAATGTCCACGGTGCACATGTGTCATGAGTGATAGCCACATAATTATTAGCAAATAAATTATTTCTCTCCTTATTTGAATGATTTTATATAATTTTAGTAAGTTTTTTCCTGCAATGTCAACAACAATGTCAACATTAGACGGCCTCCTTGACATTGTGGAGAATAACTTACCAAAACTATATAAAATCATTCAAATAAGGAGAATAATAATTTATTTACTAATATTTATGTGGTCATCTCTCATGCCATGTATGCACCGTGCACATTGTACCATTGAAGATGCTCTAACCCAATTTGTGATCTCGTCAAGTTATAAGACCATTATAGGTATATAATAGTTCATTTGAACCATGGTATAATTAAGAACAATATTTTTCATTAATTCAAAAATTAATCCTTAAGTGGAGATATTTTAAATTGTTACCAATTGAACTCAAAGGTTACATCACTATTCGGTATAAAGTCTCAATTAATCGCTATCGTAGTATAAATATCCAGGATACAGTTAATGCTTAATACTCACTTGATAACAATACTAACTTTAGTATTTCTAATTAAATTTTCATGGAAATATGATCCATATTATCCGTATATTCAAACCCTTATTCGAGTATAGGGTTAAACGTGGTACTACTAGACCATAGTACCTGGTCACACTATATACCCTAATTATTGTTCTTCGTATGAAGAACATGTAGGAAAATTCCGAGTGAGATCATGATTAACGGTAGACTCAATGGTAATCCGAACTTAGAAAAAGAATTATGAACACAAGATAATGGTGAACACACTATATGTTCTCATTAATCACCTGAATAGGAACCATTGAGTCTGAAATATATTGGATGTCCGTATTGTTATTAATATACACCCAAAGTCATACTATGTATAAGGACGTTTTCTTTTGGACTGAAATTTGCTGGTCTGGTCTGGTCTGTTTAAGTCTGGTATGGTTTGGTCTGGTCTGTTTAAGTCTGGTCTGGTCTGAACTGGTCTGGTCTGGTCTGGTAAACGTCTGGTCTCTGTGTATTTTATAACTACGGAAGTCTGGTCTGGTCTGGTCTGGTCTGTTTAAGTCTGGTCTGGTCTGTTTAAGTCTGGTCTGGTCTGGTCTGGTCTGTTTAAGTCTGGTCTGGTCTGGTCTGGTCTGGTCTGTTTAAGTCTGGTCTGGTCTGGTCTGGGACTGAAAACAGTCCAAAAGAAAATATCCTAATTCTACATCGTGCCATTACTTGTTTCGTTCAATGATCACTCACGACATCATTAGGATTTATGTTTCTCATATGGTACAACACTACAACATAATGTTACATCCATTGTGTATTTCTGAACTACTTCGTAATTAATGAATTTTATTCTGGCTCAATCAGGATTAAACAATTTAATTATACAAGTCACCTCGCCTATGGATAGGAAATTATCCCTTCCCATCGTACCCATTTAGATCAATACCGATGTTAATAAATACTTATGAGTCCAAAGATAGTATATGAACATGGGGTATGTCTAATTGCCATTCGACATACTAATGCCAATTAGTATCCGTAATTGTAGCTTGGGTATTTGATGAGTGTTTTCTCGCACTTAAAATAGATCGTAATATAGTGGTGTAAGTACGAGTATCGTCTCCACAGGGACGGACAA